TCTTGCCAGTCTATCACTTGATTGGCCGAGCAGCATCCATCTTCCTGAATCAGCATCGACTGGTGTTTGTTTCTGGGAAATTCTCTCCTTTTTTAAAATTTATTTGGTCATTGTTGAACCACTTCTGGGTGCCTTGTGCCATTTTATTTCTTGCAAGTGCATCTCAGTGAATGATTAAAGGAGATTTTTTTTCTCTTAAATCTCAAATACTAAATTCTCTCACTTAAAAAAATAAAAGGAAAGGGAGAGGTTGTGTGTTTGTGCAAGTCTTCAGATACAGAAAGGCTGGCATTTAGAAGTTGAAAAGGCGAGAAAAAAAGCTCTGTATAATTTTTTTTTTTGCCTGTGAAAACCCTTTGGAAGGTTTAATCCTATCCAGGCTGCATGTGTGAATACCTGTTGCACAAGAACTAACAAATTAGCAGCAAGAAACCAAGTTTGACAGGCAGTGCCAGGCAGTCTGAAACATCCAGGAAAATAAGTATTCTCCCCAGTGATGGAGCCTCTTCTAAAAGCTATTTTTATTCAGTTTGAACCCCCAGGTTCGTGGAAAGTGAACCGATCCATAAAAATACACAATAAATAATTTTACACATATCATGCTCATTTGCATGTGAATTAGCCCAGTTTATGGCCATAAAGGCAGACTTTGTCAGTGCACAGAAGATGCAAACAAGTAGAAGGGGCAGAGAAGAACTGCCCACAGTTGAAGATCTGTCACATTTCTGCACCACTCAATATTAATACTTGCTGTGCCTCAACGAGGTTAAAATGATGGTGACAGCTCAGATCTGTGTGGTGATAGATAGATAGAGAGGGAGATACAAGTTCTTACATCTTCCTTCTGCATTTGCATTTTCTTCCAGGTATAGATCTCACAGTGTCTGTTAACTGATTATTTCTCTTAAATAAGCAGGAAAAAAAAAAAAAAAAGAAAAAAAAAATCCCTTTTTTCTCACCCGACTGCTTATTAGATTTGAAATTGGGAAAAGCCCTTCGTTTACTCCGAACAAATAGTTCTGTTTTCCACCACTGGCTGTCATGTTTAAAGTAAATAAGTTCTCGTCCCTCCAGCACTGCTGAACTCATTCACTTCCCAGAACAAAGCCATTGTGTGGAGGTGCACAACAGCCCCTTTCTCTCCTTCCCCGAGCGGGATCTTCCCCGGCACCGCAGTGTGCTCCCCAGCTTTGTGAGCCATTCATTCACCAGTGCCAGTGCTAAAAGTGTGTATGCTTTATTTCACAGAAGAAATGAAGGAAGATTATGACACTATGGGGCCTGAAGCCACAATTCAGACCACTGGAAACAATGGTACAGGTAAGGCCTTGCATGGAGTGAGCATCACTTTTCTTCAGGATCCCAAAAGTTAGCTGTGCATGGAGAGTGAGAGTGACAAAACAATCTGTTTGTTGTTTTCAGTTATTGGAAAATACTGACTTAATTCTCCTGGTTTTTAATTTCCCTCCCCTCCCAACTTGATCCTGAGAGTGCAGTGACCAATCCATGTGGTGAAGAGTCCTTGCTATCACTCCTGTGTCCCACAACATTTTATCCCCAGCTCCTTGTAGCTGCATCCTTGGGAGATAGTTCTGTGCAGTGTGAGGAAATGTTTTCCCAGGCAGGGTGAACCTTGGAGTTTAAAGTAGCTGGGCCAAGGTACAGTGGCCTTTTAATAAGAGAGGCTGCATCAAGAGCTCGATAATAGGATGGGGTGCACCCTTGGCAGCCCCAGATTTGGGTGGTGCACAGAGTAAACTGCTTCAGAGATTGAAAACATCTTGTCATCAAGACACACATAAACCCCTTACATAGATCTGTAGACACACACACTTTAGATGCATATTTATGAGATTATAATGTTTCTGGCAATTTTCTTTTGTTTTTTTACCACTTTTTACATCTCTTTCTTTCCCCTCTTCTTAGAAATCAATGCATTTGATGGCAAAAGATCTGTGACAAAGATATTTAGCAGGCATCACCTCTGAGCTGTCTCTCTTTTTCTCTAGCAGAGAAAACCAGCAAAAGGTTTCTGTTGCTATTTTCGAATCCAAATGAATTCAGGGGTTTGCCATGTTCTTTCCAAAGGCCCCACTCTATCCTCAGCACAGCTGAATGCCATACATCACCCAGTGTTTGTTCTGCATTTTGTCACAATTTGAGATGCTGCAGATAGATTTACACAGCTAAAAGGAAGAGTTTTCTAGTATAAGTACATTTCTATGCATGCCATTATGAAATTTAGTTCATAGGTAATACTCTCCACAAATATTACTGTAAAAGGTGGTACCAAAGTCTCAGAAGGATTTTATTACTCACACTTTCCTAATGTTGGTAACACCCACATAAAACCCCAGTGCTCTTATTAAGCAACACAAGAAATTTACTTTATCATTCTTGAGGGGGAAAATAATAGGAAAATAAAACCGTGTCACTGCTTTCTTTATCCATTAGATTTATTATGCATGAAAGGAGGGTGGCACCAAGGCACAGTTCATCATTACCTATGTACTTAATGATGTTGCTGTGCAGAACTGGCTACATATGTATCTCTAAACCTTATTTTATTTCCAAGAGACGGCAATAAAGTGACAAATTGTGCTTAGCAATTGGAGAAACAGGATTTTAAAAGACATCTGATTCAGAAACAAGGCTTGATGGTTATCTGAATTACCATTACCAGAGCCTTTGAGGTTCCCTATCAGTCCGTGTGACTTCCTTTGTACATATTTTCCCTACCATAACAGGCCTTGACTCTTTCATGATTGCAGTGTAGTCTGCTTGAAGGGGAAGACTTCATGTCCTCTTAGTTCCCTTCCAGTATCTGCTGTCCTTGTCGGCCAGCTCATCGTCAGCACCACGAAATCTCTCTGGGGGTGCCACTGAGCTCTGGCACAGCCCCACTGCTAACCAGGAGTGGGGTCCACGGGGTGTCCTGCCTCTACTGGAACCAGTTTTCCATGGAAGAAATAAGGGTTACCCCTACCCAGCTTGATGCACTGTAAACTCGAGGCTCAAGGAGTGTTTTGCATTTAGGTGGTCTGATTTAAAATGCAGGAGCTTCTTTGTGTGTTGCTTCTATCAATTCCTTCCCCAAATGTCCTTTGCAAGTCTCAGGCTCCTCTTTACTCCAGCTACGATGGGAGGCTTGCTCAAATAACCATCACAAGTTGCTGTGAAAATGTTTAATTCAAGTCTTTTTTCACTGAGGTGTTCAGAGACACTTTCAGTGGAGGCTGATGCCTTGTCAGGTTGGGTAGAATATGTTTCTTTAGTTGCTGCAATCTCCATAGAGTCTTGAGAGCAATGTCAGATTACCTAGGCATAATAAATGCTCTGATATATTAAATGCTTATGCCAATATTTTCACCTGGAGTGGGAGATTCCAGGTGGCTATGAGGAGCTGTAGTTTCCTTTATTAGGAGTAAAAGAACCCTTTCGTGCCCAGTGAGGTGCCTCAACCATTATTTAACAAGGAAAGGGAAGAAATCAGTCCCTGAGCTGTAGGAAATCCTTCCTGGATAGTCTTGGAAGTGTTCAAAATTTTCTTCTTCAGCCTCACTATAGGCTTTGGGTGTTTTGCCTCAGTTTTCCCTGCAGTTTATAGGGGATCTAATATTGATGTTCAATTAAGTAGCTCAGGTGAGGCTGAGACTTGACTCAATGAAAACATGCATCTAACCAGAAAGTTTCTTTAAGTGAATGCAACATCTGTGGTGCACTTTTAGCATCCAATTCTCTGCAAAATGTCATTAGTAGAGAAAGAAAACTGAAAGAAAACATCTCCATTATTAAATTATTCTGCTATTGTCAGAGTGGCCACTTCCTAGTGGTACTTAAAGAGATGTGTTGTTATCTATATATTAACCAGCTGCATTTTTATAATGAGCCATGGAAGCTTCATGGTGAAAAAGCAGAAGTGACCATTAGGGTGAAAATTTAGGATTTTGGTCCTGCTAAATGAATTTGTAGATATTTCTGAGGATTTCTGCAATAGGGACTTGAAAAACTGATGTTTGGCAGAAGAGGTTTTTAAAATGTGAATGAAGAAATTCTTACGGTTTATTTTATTCTACCTTTTATGGTTATTGCAACTGGGATGCTTGCAGAGAATAGATTAACAAAATCCCTGTAAACAAACAGAAAAAAATTCCTGGTTTCGATTAGTAACATCTGACAAAATTCAAGTAAAGATCTCTTAACATAATTTAAAGAAGGGAAAGAAAAACTTTCAGGGGGAGGAAAACAGAACCAAAACTTGGCAGGTTGGAGGACAGGCCGTTTTCAGGCTGTAATCTGTGTGTACCAATGAGGGCCTCTCACTTCCTGGCTAATGAAGGCTGTGGTTTTCTTAGCTTTGTTTGTGATTAAGGGCAGCTATCACCATCTCACAGGACAAGTTCCCACACAAAATAACTGGTCTCCCAAGCTCCTTGGACCTCTCTCCCACTTTATCTTGAAAGCTCCTAAATGCCTCCAAAGATAGCTTTCCTTAATGTGTTTTATTTTTATGTGACACAGCCACATCAGCTTTTGGAGCTGAAAATATTTCTGCTCTCCAGGCTCCAATAATTAATTAAAAAAAGACTTATTTGGTGAGGTCACCCACCATAGATCTCACTGAAATTCTTGCCTCGCAGGAGGGGTTGTGCAGTGTGTGTGCAATATCAGCCCACAAGGAGACTGGGAACATGGCTTTGTACATGGAAAATAAATCAGGGCATGGAGGGGGGAAGCAAGTCTTCCACCCAGAAGTCAAGAGAGAAACCTAATGGTTGTCAGATGGGTCTTTTTAGTACCTCTGGATGAGCTTCCAGCCATGTCTGAATTGTCAGTAACGTTGCTGGTGAGAAACCAGACCCACATGGACACCCTTTGCTGTTTGTGTTAATTTGCAGCATTTCAGCACTGGTTGTATTGCTTCAGTGAAGGATCTATCAGCTTTTCCACTAAATCCCCTTGTTTTTAGGGGTTTATAATATAGACATAAACATTTGCTTTAGCTCCTGGATTGCATGAACAGACATAGAAGCTAAATAATCCTAAGAATTAGGAAACCAAGTAATATTGCAGCAGTCTTCCACAGCCTGTTGGATCAGCCTCCAGACAGACTTGGGGGCAGGAAGGAAGAACCTCATTTGGGTTTGAGTTGGGGATGGAAGCTCCTAATGTTAACTCAGGCCTTGCTTGGATCCTAATCCTATAAATGCAGTTGCAAACTCCAACTTCCCCTAGTTTACCTGGAGGAGAAAAGGGACACATTGAATCATCCTATGGAGCCATTCCATTTCTCCTTTCTGGAGAAAAACTCCCTCTCCTTCCTTCACAGGTAGCACTTATTGGCTCATGGCCTAGATTTGCCAAAAATATACTCGTTTTCCTTGGATCCATTGCTAAGACAAGAGAAGGAGTTTGGGCAGTGTTAAGCCAGAGGGTAGATGATCTTGTAACACTGGGAAGATCTAGGCATAAAAGGGGAATGAAAAGTTAGATTTATAGCACAAAAAGTAAAGCCTCAGCTTTTTTTTTTTTTTCTGATAAAAACAAGAAGTCCTACCCCTACTGTGATGCTCTTGTGCATAAGGTGTACTCAATAACCACCATTTTGTTATATTTCTCTCCCAGAACAAAATGGAGGTAAAGTACTCTGTCTTCTTCTCCACACTCACACCCCCCTTCTCTAGAAGCTGCTTTATTTTGGGGTTGAAAGAGGAGAACTGTTTCTCATGCTGATAACAAATGGTAACTGGAGCTGCAGTAGGACCAAGAGGAGCTCTATGGTGGTATAGCTGTTCACTACAGAACCACTGTGATAGGAACAGAAGTTTCCTTCCAAAACCAGAGTCCCATGCCCTGTGCCATTTGGTCACTGTCACTAAAATACTGCAGAACGGTTGAGAAGCTGCTCAGCTCGTATGAAAAATAGGGCATATTTGTCTCAGCCAGAGGATTTGATTTTATCGGCTAAAGGGATGAGGTTTTCAGAGACAGATATCTACTTTTATCGATGACGCCGAGATCAGAGCTTCAAATCAGGCACTGCAGGCTCCAAGTTGCGCCCCAGTCAGAGGTCATGTCTCATTTTCACTCCCAGTATCACTGCCTTGCATTTTCATAGGAAACTGAGGATTTTCGTTTACTATTTTACTTTTACATGAACTCCAGAATAGTTCATGGTGTTTCCTCATTTTCTTATTTCACCTCAGCAGAAATACATTAAAAAATTAATCAATCATAAGCTGTTCTTTTAATTTATGGTCAATTAAAAACAAGTATCTTTAGTTCCCTGCCACCAACTGTGTCTTTCAAGACTTGTTAATAAACAAAGAAACACAATTTAGAGGAAGAAAATCATCATCTCCTTTTTTTTTCCCCTTTTCTAGTATAATTATATTATTATTTGTCTATTACATCCCATAGTTTTAAGATCTTTCCTGTAAGCAGTGCTCACACTTGGAGGAGAAAAGCACATTTTTAGTAATAGGATGCTTTGTGGCTGAGCATGTATTATGTTTCATGAACATTGCATGGAAAATAAAAAATTGAGGTTACATTTAAAGAAAAGAAGGAGAACTCTTGTATGGACTGTCAAAGTGGTTTTTGAGCTTGGTGGCCCTCTTATGTTCTAAACCATGCGGTTCTATTGCAGAAATCATGAAGCAGTAAGTTTTTAAAACAACCCATTCTCTCATTATAAGTTAATTTATCAGGGAGGAAAGAAAAAGCAGGAAGATGTGAGCAGTTTTCTTCTTGTGCCTGACAAAGAGCAGCCTGAGGCTATCTCAGAAAAGTTTGGTCTTTTACTACCTGCAACAGCCTTCCACCCACATGGAGACTTGTCTCGGGGTCTGTGGGATCCAGGGGCAGCTGAGCTCAGCCCTGTAGGTCGAGCTGTGCTTATGCCAAAAGCTGTGGGACCCCCAGGAGCCCCGTGAAGGTTGTTCAGGTTCCAGCAATGAAAGATTACCTGCATTACCCAAGCCTCATAAACTTCTCCAACTGCCCTGTAGAGCCCCGTGTTCTTGTTAATTTAACTGCCCGCCCTCACTTCCATCCACACTGGTGGAAAGCCCACATTAATTTTATTGGGAGCTGGAGCAAGGCCGATGAGAGCAAAGATCCAGCTGCAGCCCCAGCTTTGTAGCTCCAGTACATCTGTTCAACTTCTAACACTGTTGATTGGCCCAAGCTCTCTGGGACGATGCACTCAACCACCCTTTCTTCTCCCCCTCTATTTTAGTGAAGAACGCAAATTGCACGTCGGACTTTGAGGAATATTTTGCCAAAAGGAAACTGGAGGAAGGAGATGGGCATGCAGTCAGCATAGCAGAGTACCTGCAGCGCAGCGACACAGCCATTATTTACCCTGAAGCCCCTGAGGAACTGTCTCGCCTTGGCACTCCAGAGGTCAATGGGCAAGAAGAAAATGGTGAGGCTGTAATTCATTTTTAGCCAGTATCCTGACCTCGTGCAGCTGTTGCAATTATAAATGCACTACATGCCTGGGTGTTTACCTTAAAAATTGAAGAACAGCTGCAGCGGCATGGAATTTCATGAGCAAAGATTGGGGCTGTAATTTCAGTGTATTGTGATTTTTTAGTCAGCACATTTGTATTATTTGGTGGGTGAACTGAGGAGCTGAATTTAAACAGGAGAAAGGCTGCTGCTGTTCTTGGGAGTTTGGAAAGTTTTAATAGAGTTTTAACACAACAAAAGACAGTAGCCAGCCTATTGCTCTCCAGCGCCTTGATAAATAATTGGAGAAGAGTCAGTAGGAAGGATTCGGTCAATGGCATAAGTAACGTAATGAGCTGGGGCTGGAATGCAAATTGCCAATTGATCAGGAAAAGTATTTCTTAGTTTTCCAGCCAGCCAGGTCTGCGGGAGGAGTGATGCCCATAATTAATTTCCCGGTGGGGTCCAGAGCGGGCCCCGCGAGTCTGCCGTGGGCGTGCGCGGGTGCCGGTGCCTCCCGCCGCCGGTTGGAAGTGCCGTCCCTCCCTCCCGGGCAGCAGATTGCGGCGATTCCTCTCATACCATCCCGGGCAATCAGCCCATGAGCTGCCATTGATTTGCTGACCTTTTGGCCTGCCTCTCTTTCCTCCCCCCCCATCCCGGGGCGCAGACCTGCCACCTGGAACTCCAGATGCCTTCGCCCAACTGCTGACCTGCCCCTACTGCGACCGGGGCTACAAGCGCCTGACGTCCCTCAAGGAGCACATCAAGTACCGCCACGAGAAGAACGAGGAGAACTTCTCGTGCCCTCTCTGTAACTACACGTTTGCCTACCGCACCCAGCTCGAGCGGCATATGGTGACACACAAGCCAGGGACAGATCAGGTGGGGGGCTGGTTTTAAGTGATTTCCTTCTGTAATAACCCCTTAGAGAAACTATATTGCTTTGATTGGCAATCATTATTAATTTTTCATGGCATTTTGAAGATGCAGATCTTTTAATGGTAATAGCTTTAATTGAGGTCTAAATGATTTTTTGATGGTCTCTTCTAATATGATTTAATAGTCTTATGTTCACGATCGAATGAGTGTGTTAATTTCTAATTTAGAAATTTTATTTGCACTTTAACTTGACTTTAGTTTCGTTTTTATGTTCCTCAAAAAGTGAATGAAACTGTAGCATTTTAATTATACATTATTAAACATCTCAGCAATTTTAATTCCATTTTTCACCTAGTTTTACTTTGCAGTGTTGCAAATAGGAGTTCCAAGACATACTAAAAGATCTGCTAATATTTTTTCATTACTTTTTGAGTAACCTTTTCAATCACATGAAATTATGCGTATTTTGTATAATCGTTTGTTAGACATAATTACACATTTTGAGAAGAACTCTTCCGACAGTACATATAGGCTATCATTTGTGATTGTGCCACTAGAATTGGGCATTGCTCTCATTTGTGTAGCCCGGCAGCGTATCTGCAATAAATCAAAGCCCTTTTTTCCTCGATGGGGTATGTGTAATATTATATCAGTGCCACATTTAAGGAAATGCTGGTGTCTCAAACAGGTGACTGAGCTTCCCTACTGCTCCTAGATGGGCTGGCAGTAGACCTGCACCACAAAATTCTTTACACACCAGCAGGAAAACTGCTCCTAGCTGGAGAATTACTTCTAAAAACCCATCTTAAAGAGGGCTGTAAGGGAAACTCAAATGACGTGGTTAAAAGTTGAACAAATAGATGTGCGCGTTGTGTCGAATTATAAAGGCTTTATGCCATATTTATTTTTCTTAAAAACCTGAAAATCACAATCATCTGTATTTCTCTTGGTAGGTTTCTCAGCAGAAGGTAAATTCAGTTAGGCAAACACACATCTTCCTAATCACGCAATTTTTGCAATTAGCATTTTTAAGAGAACCGTATCTTTTGCTTGATCTTAAATCAATATAAATGACTCCAAAGCACTTTCTCCTATTCTTTCCTTCCCATGACTTTTCCAGTAGACAAACACATTTTCCCATGTATATTTTTCCTAACCTGATACACTGTAAGGTTCTTCCTTTTGCCTCGTATCATTAAAAACACCAGGGGAGGGAACAAAACCCGCCTGGATATTTATCCAACGTAACTGCCTGAAATTTCACATGCGAGAGCGCGCTGGTACTGGCGCATTATGAATGGTAGCTTTGGTGTTGAAAAGTCCCCTCATTTGCTCATGGCATTTACAATTAGTAAATTAAAATGATTGTATCATATTAACAGTGGCACAACTAAAGTTTATAGTAGTCCTCAGAGGGCGATGGGGGGAGACAAAACAGCTGTTGCTGTTTGTTTATGCAACTCAGCAACATATGAGCGCGGGTCCCTCAATGGCGCGCGGCGGGCTGGGCTCTGCTTGATCTTTGAAGGTTGCTGCTGTTTGAACAAACCTCCCTGTGTCCCATGTAACACCATCTGTCTCGCCAGGAATGTGGGAAGAGGCAGCACACCCTCGCAGTTGTCATACCGTTTCGGCGCTGCCTTTTTTTTTTCCCTTTCCCCCC